TATGGAGAGACCTTGCCTTAAAAAGACCTAATAATAATAGCAATAACAATAAAGAAATAAAGATAAAGTTTGTCCAAGTTGAGTGCTTTTACAATTCTTTGAGGAAATATATTCATTTTAACAATATTCTCCTATGGACTGCATATTTGAATCTAATTTTTATAAGAGAAAGTATAAACACTAGTTCCATTATCAGGATAGCTTTAGACTTGACCCTGTGAAGCTCGGGAGCCCTGCTGGCACGAGGTCAGGTGGCCCGGCTGGGTTAATGATGGAAAATCTCACCGTATGCAGTAGGGTCAGCTACATGCTCCTGCATGAAGCATCCAAAGCCGGACAGGTTTGTTGTCACGCTGGGGATGCCCATCACGGTACACTCAGCTGCCAGAGAAACGGACAGAGTAGGCTTCAGACCAGCTCCTATGTCTTCGCACGCACAGCAGGAAATGTTCTGCCTGCCCTAAGAGTATCAGCTGTGACTCTGTGCCAGGTACTAAGCCCTTCATGTGTGTTAGTAACATGTAATCGTCTCATCCTCTCCTTGGAATGAGGCCAGCATTATTTCCCTTGGACAGATGAAGAAAGGGAAGTGACAGGACTTGCCCTCTTCACAAGGTCAGACGACTGGGTAGAGCTGGGATCCACGGCCAGGTTCCCAGTCCTGCAGCCCTTATTGGGACCTCCTGCTGTGCGGGCTGCCCAAGTCCAGCTCATTACTTTGTTATTCTTTGTTTCCATTCTGAACCAAGGACTCTGCAGGGCAAGTTTAAGGGATAAACTATTTATGTTTGAACACAGCCAAATTCTATCCTGTAAATCTCTGCACACATCTTTGCTACTGTCTTACCTGTTCAGGACATTCACACTCCTGCAGTCCTTCCTCCACATTTTGATCAAAACCTATTTCCCACAGAAATATCTGAGACGCCTCTAAAAATCTTCTTTCAAAAATATCTACTTTTTTTTTTCTTTTCCCATTTTTGTGTGTGTAGGTAGCGAGCATGTGGTATGTGTGTGCTTGCGTGTGTGTGGGCACCCATGTGGGCACATTCAAGCATGTGAAAGCCTGAGGTTGAGGTCAGGAATCTGACTCCATCTGGTTTCCACTTTATTCATGGAGCAGTGTCCATCAGAGCTCACCCTATGGCTAGTCTAACCAGCCAGCTTGATCTGGAGGGCCCTGTCTCTGCTTTCTGAGGCTGGAATTACAGGTGGGTGGGCACACCCACCCAGCATGGAAACACACATGAGCTGTACACCCACCCAGCAGTTATTGGGTTCTGGGAATCGAATCTGCGTCTTTTGTAAGAACAACCAGTGTTCTTTAACTACTGAGCCATCTCTCCAGCCCCGCCAGTCTTTTATCACAGCAACAGAAACCAAACTACATTGGTATAAGTCCAAAGTATTGCCCAACAGAATCACAAATGTATGTAGTTTTCAAAACTCAAACTATGTTGGTATTAAGTCCAAAGTATTGCCCAACAGAATCACAAATGTATGTAGTTTTCAAACCTTGGTACTCTGAACTCTCTCTCCTTTAAATATCCTCATGAGTCAAATGTGATAACAGTTGTGAAAATTCATTTCCATGTACTGGCCTATATAATTTTGATTAGTAAAATATTTTGAGATCATACCTTCATCCTATTTTTCTTCCACAATGATAAGGCATCAAAATAGATCAAACATACCTATTTTATTCAAATCTACCAAATGATTCTCTTTATGAAGGTGAATAAAGCTTTTGGAAGGCCAAGAAACTTGACTGAGGTTATGTAGCTGTTAAACTGCCACGCCAAGATTCAAAGTATAAGAGTACTTACCTCCAAAGCATATACATAGTTAATACAGTTGATATTTTATTAATAAAACCTGACATTCCATAATAAAGACTATGATATAGTTAATATATCTAGCTAGTGGTGACAGGAAGCACATAATCCATTTATAGACTATTTCTACTTGGGGCTCGCGACATGACTCAATGGTTAAGAACACTGGCTGTTTTTGCAGAGGACCCAGGTTTGATTCCCAGCACCCACATGGTGGCTAACTGTAACTCCAGTTCCAGGGGATTTGATGCCCTCTTCTGACCTCTGCGGACAGTGCACAACATGGACATGCAGGTAGTACATGCATACACATAAAAATAATAAAATTTTAAGAAATTCATTTTGGCAGTACCAATTAAAGCTGTGAAGGAAAAAAATCCTCATTTTAAAGGTAACACATGGTTTTAAGAAGTAGTCAATCTTTGGAAACATCCTGCTTTCTAGTGGCTAACTGAGTTCCAGGGGATTTGATGCCCTCTTCTGACCTCTGCGGACAGTGCACAACATGGACATGCAGGTAGTACATGCATACACATAAAAATAATAAAATTTTAAGAAATTTATTTTGGCAGTAGGCAGTAC